GATTCTGCGGGGAGAATATTTTTTTTCGAAGACACTTATTCTCTCTGTGCACCAATTCCCGGTGGTAAAACGATGAATCTTCGAATTTGTATGAACTCAATGCACTGTCGAAGTATTGGGGCGTTAATTCCCGCCATCCGGATATTTTTTTTAAGCCTCACCTGACCATTATTACGCGCGAGTAATTGCAAACGTAAAACACAAGAGCGAAAAAAAAGGGTTCGAGAAATAAAAAGTAAACGAATTTTATCGGGTTGTAGTACAAAGGTATTATACGTTATTTATTCTTCTCATTTAGGTGTAGACATCTTAATCAGCTATACATGTATCGATGTACATTATGTAAATACATATGTATAAATAGGTCTGTCGATTAAATTATTTTTAAATCAATGCTGACACTTTTCACTTGAACTTTTAAACTACGAAAATGGTGTTATCAATTTTTCTGGTACTACTATTGCTGTTTTATTTTAATTCTATCATTAAGTCGTGCAAAAAGTTCTAGTTCGTGATGAGCATTCTCCCATTCATAGTAATTACCCCATGTTAACTGATGCAGAATAATTATTTAGATCACAAAAACACTACTATTCTCCCATTTTTGGATTTATACTATTAACTATAAGTTCAATTCAAGAATATAAAAAACAAATAGGTCGAGAAATGATTTCCAATATTTACCACCAATTCAAATCGCACCTTTAACTATTCGCCTCATCGTTTTCTAGTAATAGTTCACAACAAATCACTGATGTTATGTTATTTATTTACTGAATGAACGAGTAGGAATGTAAAGGAAAGCTGAATCAACTCTATAATTATTTAAATCTCGAGTCTCGGGTAAATAGCCTGTGATAATTAAGACGAACTGTTGTCCATTGAAATTCCTTTTGAAAACTCGGTGAATCGTTGATTTTTAGAGATATCTAGTTGTCCGAATTGTCATTAAAATTTATCTCTTCTGCTTTTTATACCTGTGTGTGAATGTACGCGTGTGATCATTGTAGGGGGCCTGGCACTAGGAGTTTGTGCTCCTGGTGATGCTCTGGACTACTCGCCTGCCCCACCAGGCCTCCAGGTTGAACGGTTCAAAGTCTAAAATTATTTAATCACTCAAACACTCAGTAGTTCAAAACTAAAGTCAAATAAATGGAGGTAAAAAATACCTTTGAGGAGTGGATTTGGTTCTCTCTCTTGATAATACGTCACTGATGCCCCATTCCGATAATTTCGCGAATCCCCGTGTGGCTGATTGTGGCTCATGTTCAATTCTCTCGACACGGAGTCCCACGCTAAAAGAACAGAATAATGTACAATAATTTTTACAGCGAGAAATTTCTACAAATTGCACTTACAATCGCAGATGTACTTTATCAGATCAAAATGCTGAGCTGATGACTCTGTGTTGTATCGAATTGGCATTGTGTTTGGCCTCTTGCCATTGACAGCAGTCATCTGTGATCGTCCGCTGGAAGAATCGAGTTAATTGTCATTACTCAATTGAATTTTTCACCCTCAAGATGATAATAAAATGTTTACAGGCCTTCAGTGAGAATAATAAATAATCTGCTTTTATATTATCCATCTACTCACCAACTTTACAACTTACTTTATGTTCAGGGATGAAAAATAGTGCATGAGTTGATAAAAATATCACTACGTTATCAAAATTAAATGTCAGTGCGAATTTTGATATGCGAATTGAATTAAATGGCGTAATGAGGAAAGTATTTAACTCTCGGATAGTGCGCATAAAAATGCGTACGGAATTTGTTCACACGATCTACTTATTAATTCGTGAGGAAACCCAATCATTTTTTAATGAAAATGTTTTTAATTAATATAAATGCCGAGTCAAATCACAAAATCAAATAAATCCGATTGTCCATGTTCCGTCCATGTTTTGTTTTCCGAAATTTAATTATTAGTCAAGCCCGCTGTGTAATTTTTTTATAATTCCGTAAACCCAAAAGCCGACGCGGGTCTCAAAATCGAAAATAGAAGGCCCTCGATCCCCGATGACCCAGGAAACCCCGTAAATCCCGATTTCCGACACGAGTAAATATATACATCACCTCAAAACGTC